ATTTTCTCTGTGTATCTTTATGCTTTATATATACATTGTCTAATTACTGAATGTTAAAGCTGTTTTTGCCTGCATGTTCAAACACTGCAGCAGATTATCTTTGCCACATTGGTGAGCCTTAATTCTCACATCAAGACAAATAAGCACCAAGTCAAGTTCAAGTCCTAAACATGTCATTATGTGTCCTTGATTCATTTTGTGAAGTGTTAATACTAATGTTAAATTTACAGTTACAATTAATTGAATTTTTAGGTATGACTTTGAAATAAACTTTACATTTAAAAGTAAAATGATCCAGTGTCCTTGGTGCTGTATCTCATACTTCAAGTTCAAGTTCAATTGTTTATCATTTCTGGAATGATTATTTTACATGTTGCCATGCGTAGTTGTGCACCTTTCTCCTCGGGTGCTGTCAACAGTGTCCTGTTGCACTCTTATGTGAAGGAACTGCAAAGAGACAAAAAATAACAACAAAGAGGGGCAAAGCAATCAAAAAGAGACACACAATGACCAAAAACAACCTCAAAATGACACAGAATGACCGAAAAGGATACTAGATGACCTCAAAGAGACACAAAATGACCAAAAAAGACACAAAATCATCATCGTCATCATCATCAGACACAAAAATATCTTATAAATACATAAAATTACCTCAAAGAGACACAAAATGTCCAAAAAAGACAAGTTGACCTCAAAGACATACAAATGACCAATAAAGGACACAAAATTATCTTAGAGATATAAAATTACTTCTCAGAGTGATACAAATGGCCAAAAAGACACAGACTTACCTCAAAGAGACACAAAACAACAACAACAAAAAAGAAGCAAAATCATCACAAAAGCCACCTAGTTTTGGTTACAAAAAAGTCTTAGCGGCACAATGCTTGCTGATAATGCAGCGATGTCTTGGTAAACAACAACTGCTTTTTGTGGCACTGTCCCGGCATGAAAGGCAGCAATGTCTCAATTCAAAACAACAATTTCCTGACACTATCCCCACTGGAAGCAAAGTGACAAGTCACTGGAAAACACCCAGGTTGTTGCCTAAAAAGCATTTGAAAAGACAGCAATGACTTGCTAAAAAACAACCAGTTTTATTTGTTGGTCTCAAACAGTGATCTGCGGCTTGGCAGGCATCTTGCCCAGGTGACTCGCCGTCCACCATCCCCTCCCCCTCTCAATGACAAAATCAGCTCATACACTACTTCACTATAGAAAAGTATGACACCTGTGAAAAGAGCAAATGTAGCATATTTGTTGGTTGCAGAAGCATACAATGCCAACATTTTCTCCTGGCAACTCGGCCACTGGTTTGAGATGGGAAATTTGTTGCATGGCTTTCTCCCACCTCTCTCTTCCTCATTTCCTGTCTGCCTCCACTGTCTACACCCCAAAAAATGCTTACATGCCATCAAAAATACTGGAGGAAAAAAAATATACTATATAATATACTATATTTTTGTGTCATTCTTAACCTCTGATGTGTCTGACTTGCAGCATTTCTGCCTTTGCTTGTGCTTCCTTTATTTGTACAATGTTTATGTATGTCACGTGTGTTGTACTGTTAAAATGCTGAATGTGTTTGCATTGTTGTATTAAAATGCATGCTGTTTTCCTGTTGCACCTTATTGAGCTGTCTCATGAAGGAGATCAAATTTTAGAGGAGGTGGGAGGGGGGTAGAGCAGAATGCATTGTGTTTGTTGACCAGAAAGATCATGTGTTTTCTGGGGTGGCAAGAGGAGACAAGGCAGAGATAGTCTTACAAGTTTTGTCGGACATTCCAGTCGCTAGCTTTGAAAGTGCTGCAATGGACAAGGAACAATTGATTTAATGAAGCTGAAATAAGGACTCATTAGATACTGCTATACTACACAATACCTTATTATTTCACTTTTAAAAAAATAAGGTGGCAGCTGGCTAGAGGGAGAGCTCAAAGTTACCGTGACAATTTACTTGCTGTTGGCTATATTGTATGTCATTTCCAGTAAATGTCACAATATAAAGCATGTGTTTTCTGTTTCAAAATTACAAACGTAGGAAGATGGCATTTACTCACCTATCTTTTAAGATGTAGTATGCTTTGTTTAAATGACATAAGAGAAGTGCATAGAGTATTTAATAGATTCAGTTTGGACAGCGAGTTCTGATTTCACACATTGCGACACATTAGTCTGACACTCATTTGCTGTTGGGACATGATGTCATTATGTTCCACTTAGGAGTGGTTGCTGAATCAAGTGTGAAACCTTGTGGTAAAATTTGGTATAGCCGTCCAGTCTGATGTTTCGCTTAATGTCAGACCACTTTTAAATTTTTTACACACGCTGAAGCCTACTGTTTTAGGCTACTCCAACATCTTAGCTCTTTAACTGCTAAATGCTCCACTATGTTCACCAGCTAGTCTCTAACTGTATCTGCCTGCTGTTAGGTGCTGAGCAGGTAGTATGCAATGGGTTTATCAGAGCTTTCTTGCTGCAAAGAGCTGCCTACTGCTGCAGCTGGTAATAAGGTCCATGTGTACTGGCTATAAAAGCAAACAGTGAAATAAAAGAGAGCAAAAATCTTTGGAGTTGGTGATAATTCTCTGTGTATTCATCACAAAGAATTACACCTTTCACATTACAGATAATCCACTGTCAATGTGGAAAAATAAAAGCATTGATTAGCACAGCTTTAATGTTTGCGGTGCATCTTGGTATTCAAACTGTAGTGTACTGCTGTGTTTTTTTTTTTTGTTATGTGCATGCTTCTGGCTAATTTGGTTAAACTTGGAACTGCTGTGTGTGATCACTGCTACTGGCATGTTGTGTGTGTATGCATGCGTCTATGGGAGTTTGTGTGTATTAAATTCTACTTGTGATGTGTAGAGTGGAGAAGTAATCTGGCAGGTCTAGAGACAGTGCAGGATTCACTGAGCACATTAGATGACACTGTGATGCTGACACTAAACAATACTGTCGTACAGTATGCAGCACTATGTCAGCACTGCAATCTGACATAGTGCTGACAAACACTACTACAGCGAGCTCCCCTATGACCACATACACTAAAAGAAAACTGTTGTCAATGAAACTTACACATATTGTTTTATAAATGAATAACAAAAAAGGACAAGCAAGAAATTACAACTGGTTTTTAAAAGCATATACAGTTAAAATACTGTATTACCTCTTATTCCAAATGTGAAGGACTTTGATGAAGCCCTCTGCCAATCTCTAAGAGCACCCCTGCTTACACAAATGAAAGTAGGTAATTACTTTGACACATAACACAGAGCCAGGCTTTTGTTTCAGACTGTAATGTAGAAAAAAAAATCTGTCAAAAATTAAGTAATTTTACTATACCTGCCGTAGTGATTCTTTGTTGCTGTGCCTCTGAGATCTCTACATTCGTCACAAACAATTTCAGAGTGCATAGACTGATGAGGAAAAAGACCCTTGGTCAAACTGCTGTCACAAAGGATTCTGCCTTCTTCCCCAACAACCCTAAGCATTCATACATTAACCCTGATTCTGAATTGAATTGTAATTTGAGTTTTTAAGTTTTATGACTTCCTATTATATCATTCATTTAGAACATTAATATAAAAAATTAATAAAACAAAGCCATTAAAGTATGCAGCCCATGACATGTTTCAGCCACTGTTTAAAGAATAAATTTTGATTTCAAATCACAGTATAATAGTTTCACCAAAACATCATGAGTGAAAGGCTAGTGCACCTTTCAAAATGACTTAATCTTAAGCAACAGGGCACAATATATTGACAGCCAAAACTTTATTTTTTGATGACATAAAGCAATGCTTCACAGCCTAATGTGTCAAGTTTGGAAATGTAACACCCAATGATTTACATAATTTGGTTAGTTGAAAATCATATTTAACATGTGAAATATCATATGTAACATGTGAATCGTACAAGTATGTGATAATGTGCTGTTGTTGTAACAGCCCATTCATATTCCCATGTCATCAAATTCTGATGCTTTGTCACACCCATTGGTGTGTGATATTGACTCCAAAGGCACCCTTTAGAGCAACTGATGTAGTATCAGAGTGAGAAAGTTTGTGTAGGTGGATGGGTCAAACAAAACCAGACCTACACCTAAGGGAGTGGAGTTGGTGTCCTGTGTGAAACCAGAAGTCTGTTTTTTAATGTAACATGACAAATTTGTGACAAATCATGTTACATTACCTAACAGACTTATGTTAACCCAAAAAATCCTTATTTTTAAACCTAGCCAAGTAGTTGTGTTGTGTAAACATAACAATTTCCCAACATTAAAAAAGTGTTACAATGCCTTGAAGCTGTGTGTCACATAGAGATGCTAAAGGGTGCCTTGTGCATCACTATTAGACACCAACTGGTGTGACAAAGTGTCTGTTTATGATGACCTGGGAATGATTACAGGTTGGTCATGAAGGTAATTTTGGCCACTTCTAGATAAACAAAATGGATAGATAAAAAATTTGGACTCATGACCTTGGTATTTTTATAGTTCTGGCTTTAGCCCTGATGTTTATGGCATCAATCGGTGTGCATTTTAAGAACAAAAAAAATGTGTGTGAAATTATTCATTTTTGTATTCAGGTGTGTTTGTGGATCTATGCTTGAATATTACATGCTGTGTATTTATGTGAGTGTTTATGCTGCATCTGCTTAAAGAGCTGAGCAGCTAATAAAAAACCCAAGTGACAGACATTTGGGGTTCATGCTCTCACAGTCTACCATGAATCGAGAAAGCAATGTGACCAGGTTTAAATTTATATAGCTAATGTTTGAAATAGCACTATTAAATGCTAGTATCTCATACATTAGACAAAAACATATTTATTGAGGTAATTTTTAATGCTGGTATGTCTCTCAATGTGTTACTGTCCGACATTAAATCCAGCAGAAAAACTGTTTTGGAGAAAAATATTTATAACACTAAATTCACAATCCTTACACTTATGTGTGTTCTGATGTGTGTGTGTCTGTGTGTGTGCTTCCAGGGTGGTTACGCTGCCTACAGATATGCCCAGCCTACTGCTGCCACAGCTGCTGCATACAGTGACAGGTAAGATAGAAATTGTCACATTAGGAGGTTCATTATCATTTTGTTTTGAGTTCAAGATGGGATATAATGACCCATGGATGGAAAAATTACTGATTTTTCATTTAACCAAAGCCACAGTGGCACACGGCAGTGACTTTTGGACTGCAAAAAAAATCATGCTTTGGCTCCAAATTCATACAGAAATGAATACAGGGCTCCCAGGTGAAAGTCCAGGGTTTGTTGAACCCATCCACCACCCTCTCACCTGCCCCACAGGAGCTCTCCAGCTACTAATATAATGTTGTTACTGACGGCGCTTCAAACTGACACCATCCTGTGGCGTATCACACTTCTGTGACAGGTGCCATCCAGCCGACCGGGTGCTTATCATAACGATGCAAAAGGTACCATCCGGCCATGTTATAAACAGACGACACCCATAGGTGTATTATACCACCGTGAAAGGTGGCTTTTGGCGTCAGTGTCTGAACTTGCCATGATTGACAAAGCGGTGGTACTTGATGACTTCAGAATGGTACTTGATGACTTCAGAACGGTACTTGATGACCTCAGAATGGTACTTGATGACCTCAGAATGGTACTTGATGATTTCAGAATGGTGCTTGATGACCTCAGAATTAGAACAGGCTGGTTGACCACAGCGTTGTTGACATCAAGTTTTAACACCTCAACTACATTATAACATACAAATGTAATGGTTCTGTGGTTGGCAGCAATGAACAATGCCAACATTTTTTTCTGGTGGCTGGATTAAATCCCAACAAGTTTTGAAATTGGGAGAGAGAGAAATAATTTTTACTGAATGCTCTCAATCTCTGGAAACTACAACAGTACTGTGTTACACATTATGAGAACAACAGTCTTTATACAGTAGCAGAGATGATGTAATTTAGCACAACCTCTTTTCCTAACCTCAACCAAGCATTTTAATTACCTTAACCTTAGTTTATTTGACATTACCATACTCTTCTAACCTTTACTACACTGTAGTTGTCATGTGCAAATGCCATAGAACAAAGTAACTGAAGTCTGTTAAATCAATTATCAACATTGTTTTTCTGATCATGAGGATGGGTACCAACACTAGTTATTTAGTGAGCCATTCACATGTATTTCACATGTACTGTCAGCAGGATAACTTGGAACCATGTTTATATTGTCTCTGACCCAACCCCCAGCCCATATGTTTGATATAATAGTAGGATCCATTGCAACAGCACCCCATTGTACAGACCATGGAGTTGAATCAATACCTCCCTGAGAACCTCTCAACAAAAACAAAACGTTAGAGGCTTCCCCAAGTTTATTACAGGGCCATTTCATTAGATTGCACCACTTCCTTTTTATAACATTTCACCATAAAAACAATAATAATGCTCCGGTTAGTGAAAATAAGCTCCACGAAGATTTGAAAAGGGCTTGTGGTTGAAATAGTGGCTTCTAGGGCTGAAATGATATTTGAGGGTGTTTCATATCACAATGAATAATTTGTGTTAAATTAGTAAGCGCTGGCGTGAAATTTTAGTTCATAATTGCATGGAACTCCTTTTGATTCATTATTCATCTGCTGCCTCACTTTCCCCAACTTCAGGTTTGGTTTGAATTAACAATCTCATATGGCAGAAATACCATCCGTCTAATTCAGGAGAATGATGTAAAATTATTAAAGAGAGGGCTTTGGCTCAGGACAATAGAGCAGCTAATATTTTAACAGACAAAGTAGGTACACAGTAGTTTGACTTGAAAAGAAGCTATCATGCTCATAAATGATGACACTCTCTGTATTAGCCAAGGGAGACTTAAGGGAGAGCCAAGATTAGAAGTGGAGAGGATTTATTCCACTGCCTCAGTGCTTTTATTCAGAACAGACATGGAAACCTGATACATGGGCAAAAGAAAAAGAGGTTAAAGAAGAATCCCAACCCCCCCAGCTTTGTAAAACCTTTTACATCACACACCCATCGACATAAACTAAGGTGACATGAAGAATATAGCCTATTACACAATAAGCAATAACTAGAGAAGCACTTCCTGAATAAAATGTGTGTGCCTTGATTAATTCATGTATGTATGATTCACATTCTGATTCAATGGAAAAGTGTAATGCACTTTGTTGGCTGTACTGACTGTTTGTCAGTACACCTTGACACCACAGTTAGGTCGTGCTTACAGATGCAACAGAGCTCACCTCTGACCACACCCAACCAAAAACATTAGTGGTAATTTAGCAATGAATTAAATTACAGTGTGTGATGTGTAAAGTAATTTATATTTGTAGGTGTGCATAGGCTATACGCAGAGCCTACACCATTGTGAACACTTATACTTGGTGCGGTGCTGTGTCTGCATATCTGTAATTAGACCTCCTAAACACAAGTTGTGGTAGGGTTTCTATGCCACTGTGTTGAAGTGCTGCAAAAACACAAATAAAACATAGCTTATAGTGACACTATTGCACAAAACTACACAATTCAGCTCCATTATAAATCACAGACAAAACACTTGGATTTTTTTGCTAACACATTCACCAATCTTAAATTGCTAATCCATCATTACCTTATATTTCAGCTTGTTCCGCTGCCTTTAAGTGGTCTCATAATCAACTAGTTGGTTCTTAAAGAAGCCTTGAGCAAGCTGGGGCCAGAGGGGGCAATTGCCACCCTGATACAATGCTGCTGAAAACAGCTGTGCTTGTAAATATATTCAAATGCTGCATGAGCGACAGGCTGGCAAACTCCAGTAACGAGTACTCACACTGGTGCAGCGTCAGCCGTGGTGCAAGCTGTGAGTTGTAATTCAGTAGTAAATAATCAGCTGTGTGTGTCTGACTGTGGATGGTGGAAGTGTTAAATGGATTTGTCAAATTTGTTAATTACAGCGACGGCTGTTAGCAGTTAGCTCCGCCTGTTAGCCGCTGAATGGCAGCGAAGCAAGCAGCCACCGGCCGCTGGACCTCACATCTTTTGATTCCCGTAGGACTCAAATCAAATCCGGACTGTCTCAGGGAAGGTTTATGAGTTGATGCTGTTTGACAGGCAGGTAGGAGGCTCAGTTATTTGTGAGTGTAGCTGTGCTGTTAGTAAACAGTCTGAACTCATCAGATCAGTTTTCAGATCAGTTTTCTCGGGCAGAGATGAAAGTTTAGTTTTAATCACCATCTCCATAAGACATGAGTTTAAACCTCCAGACTGTCATGTTGCAGAAGTTATTTTCTGCTTCATAACAGTGAGCTGGATGAGTCAGAGTTTACAGTGAACCTGGGTACAAATCCTAGTTCTCTTAGATCAGTTATTTGTGTTGTCAGAGTTTTTGAGAGCATAAATAGAGAGATGTTGAGCATACTGACTTACAGTAAGTCAGTAAGTGTGTAAGTGTGCTTATAAATCACCCCTTAAACCTGTAAAAAACTGCTAGTTGCAGAGCAAATTTTCTAAATTAAATTGTTATACAACCTGTCACCTTGATTCTAATTTCTGATTACTGAATTACCCTCACTGGATTTAAAGAAAAAAAAACAAAAATGTCATGAATTTTCTACTACAAACTATAAAGGATAAAAATAACTAAAATGTAGGGATGTCCCAATCCAGCTTTTTCCACTTCCGATCTGATACCGATATTACAGCCTTGAGTTTTGGCCGATACCGATACCGATCTGATCCAAGTGTGTATTATACATATTCATTTATTTTGTTGTCAGTCATGTTAGAAAAGGCTTGATCAAGCGATATTACTCTAACAAGAACAACTACTTAATCAGGTTAGTTAGAATGATCCACAACAGTTGGTATGAGAAACTGACCCGTTTATTGTTAAATAAACAAACTTTAAACTTGAACATTAACATTAAATAAAAAATATAGCTGGTTTGCTTTGGCTGCTTTGGCTCCTTAATAAATAGAAAATAAATCAACAAGAAATCTTTAAAATGTCTAATATTAAAATTAAAATAGCAGCAAGACTCCACACACTTGTGCTTTGCTCCCTAATAAATAAAAAATAGATTAACACCACAAGACATTGTTGACATTTAACAAACAATGCAGCCTTTCCTTTTCAGTTATTTTAGTAGTGTCAATGCCACCCTGGTGCTGCTGTTTCCTGGGACCAACAGAGGGGACAAAAAACACAATATTTTACAACTGTTTAAACAAGCAATAGTCCATCCATGGCTCCAGTTTCACTAATTGTGCCCAAAACAATGCCATCAGTGCTCTTTACTTAAACAGTAAGAGTGTAAACCAAATAAAAATAAAAGTATCAGTTAACAAAATTGACCGCTACTCTTCCTACCCTCCGTGTGTGTCTGCCATCTGCATGCTGGCCTGGTGGATTGATAGTAAGAGCTGGAGCGGATCACTGGAATGGACTGCTTGAATCGCGGAGCGCTGGGCTGGTTGGAAAACCTGGATCGGACTCCGTGAAAAACTGGATTCTTGGATCGGCATTTTTCCATGCAGTCCGATCCAATGCCTATGCACGTTTTTTGCTAATATCGGCATACCGATCCGAATATCGGATCGGGACATCCCTACTAAAATGTGACTAAAACTAATAAGCATTTTTGTCTTAAGACTAAGACTCAATCTAAAATAGCTGTCAAAATTAACACTGGTCGGAAAGGGGGCTAAATAACGCTCCAAAGTCTAGCTAAATGTGACTAGGGAGAAACTGGCATGGCCATTTTTAAAGGGGTCCCTTGAACCCTCACCTCAAGATACCTGAATGAAAATGGGTTGAGTAGGCCTGTTTGCAGTAAATGTTTTGTTCCTGACAGCTGCTTTCAAATTAAAGTTGCATATTTTTATTTTTAAGGAAAAGGACACCTACAATAACCTATTTGATGAACAGTGAACACTGTAATGATGTGTTATGTTTCTAACATGTATAGAACCATAACTCAGTGAAACAGGTTTGTTGTGGTACTCAAAATGTTAACTGTATCACTATCACTAGTCTATGCACATCAGGTAATTAGCAATATTAACTGTAAAAGAAGA